CTATTGCATTGCTAAAGCATGTGCTATCACGAATATATAGAGGTGATACGGAATACGTACGTGTACAGACAGACAAACAAACAAACAAACAAACAAACGCTGCTCGTCTTAGTGGGGCTCGCCCATGCTCGCCCCAATTAATTATTTGTACTTTAAATATTGATTGTGGGCAATTTGGGCAAATGCATTTTAAAATTTAAGACCTATAACTGCCCTGGTGCTTAAATAAACACTTGGAACATGTAGGTGTGTGTTAAATTATTGTGGCTAACAGTGATAGCTATTGTGGTTAACAGTCCTCCCACTGTTGCAATACTGTGTATAATACAATAACCAATGAACATAATTATGGTTGCAAATTTCTACCCGGGCAAAGCCCGTGCTTGCCCGGGTCCAAATACGCCTATGATGATAAATGCCATAGATACCTCCACCTCGTTGTATAACCTTTACGTATTATTTAATTTACCGGGAAATTATTTATTCAACCTCCCGGGAATTTACTTATTCAACCTCCCGGGCTACTTATTCAACCTCCCGGGCTACTTATTCAACCTCCCGGGAAATTATTTATTAACCTCCCGGGAAATCAGAGGTAAGTTAGTTATTTATGAACCTACAACCAAGCAATCTGATTGGTCAATTACAACTAGGCATGGTAGAATAACTAGAAATACATCAACAATGTTAATAGTACATTAAAAGGTGCAGTAGCAATACCTGGTAAGGTCTGTACACTGATTGTACTAGCAGGTCCCAGTAATTGTTGATAGGCTCTGACTGTGATGTTATAAGTTGTTCCTCCTCTCAGTCCATTCAGTGTGATTGTATTATTACTAGTTCCCTCCACCTGTACTGTCTGCACAGTGTCTGTGTCACTGGTGACATTGACTACATATCCATCAGCATCAGATGAATCAAGTGCAGTCCAAATGACAGTGATAGTGGTAGCTGTTTTGTTGACCTCAGTAAGAGAAGAGGGAGCAGTTGCTGGTACTAATAGAAAGAGAGATAATACTAAAACACAATAATCACAGACATTACCTTTTATAGTTAAATAACGTGTTCTATCATCACCACCACTAAGATTATCCAGTATATACTGATACATTTGATCTCCAGTGGTTGATTGACTGATTGATCCACTACTGACAGTCATCCCATCCCATGTGATGGTAACAGTATATCTTAATGTGTTGGTAATGCTATCTAACACAGTACCAGAACAACTATTACTGCCATCAAAACAATTAGTGTAACTAGCCAGTGCAGTACTACCAATGCTCTTACTAATGCCATACCTATTGTGTCCAATTTTAATGCAATTCAGTTTGTATTCCTGAGGATATACTGTCATATCAGAAGGAAGATCAGCAACAGTAAATGATTCTATCTGTGCATATCCTACAAATGAAAATTATTAGATTAGTAAGTGATTATAGTCTCCTCTTACTGAATATATTAGCAAAGATAATGTTAGCGTTAGGATCTGAACAATCAGTCGGTAGACAACACTTGTACCAGCCATCACCAGGTGCTCTAAGAAAGCCATTAGCTGGATTTATGAAAACACTGAGATTAGCACCTGACCCAGTAGTACATTGAACATTTTGAATGTAACCAATACCACAAGGAATTGCTCCACTAGGACCAATCCATCGTCCACCATTCAGAGTAGCACCAGGTAATCCACACTCTATGGGAGTTGGTCTGATGCTACTGTCTGAAAAATATGATCCATTGGGATAACAGGTTTTATTATGCCTCAGGTAGATACCTATAAAAACCTATATAGTTGTTATTATACACATCCAGTGTCTTACCTGAGGAAGGTGGACATTGACTAATCACTTCACTAACACTCAACAGGAAGACTATAATCACTCCTGATACTGACAATGCCATTTTAACAATAAACTGAATAGAATTATAGCTCTGTTACAGTGCTGTTATTTTTTGACAAATTAAAACTAGATCTATGCATGCCAGTTTTCTTTTACATAAGCAAAGTGCATAAGATGTAAACGTGTCAGAATTAAAATTTGTTTACTTTTCCTTAAAACAAGTTACATCTATGACAATTCAAAACAATAGCATGTTTATTTTTGTGACAAATGCATTTCCCTTAAACCATCAGTGTACATAATTATAAGTATTGAATCTCAGTGAATGCATGCATTATGTTTTCAGTTCACATCAAAATTAGTAAGGACCCCCACCAGGTTTCCTGATTATGATCAGACTCATTATCAGCTTGTCAATTTGAAGAAGTGAAAATAACTGCTAGAGTTGTTATTAAAGTTAGACCATTGATATCCTCATCCTTTTATTATTGTATAAATTATGTATATCTCATTATTATTTCTTAATAGACTATACTTATGTACACAAACAGGAGGAGATAAACAAGCAGACACTAGTCATAATTGGGAACAGTGGACAAGTCATTACATTAAGAAATCCTCTTGAAGACTCTGAAACAAAATCATTTCAGTTTGATTATACTTACAGACTCAGCAAAGTCCACTACAATATTAATGTGTATCAATGAACCTCTGAAATAAGAACACTTTCATAATCAGGACAGTGTTATTGGGTCCCAAGGTGTCAGGAATAGACAGGTTGATGTGCATGTATGTATATAGTGTAATTATTGGTAGCAACTGTAAAAAATCTTTTAAAAATCCAAATGTGATCAAAATCAGCTTAAATGCACTCATAAATTTGTATTCTCTTTTTCACACAAACTATGTAAAAACAATTGCTACATTAAAACTAGTGAAAAAGTTTCAACAGTTGCTCTATATTAAGTTGCTCTAATACCTTTCATTGCGGCATACGTTCATAAACATCTTCAGGTGATGTTTGACATTCATCATAGACTCCTTCATTCTCTTCACTTAGTTTAGTCTTGTGGATTCCATACGGTTCACATACTTGCATTGAAATATCATCATCAGCTCTATTATCATAATTATTAATAACTTAACAGAATAGAATACACTAACTTTGTTTGCTTATTAATAGTACATGAACTTTTCTTTCTATAAAAAACAACAAACATTTGTTATACTAACTATGTAAACTCTACCTCATAAAGCA